TATTAATATGTTAAAGATCATTGATAAATAATAAAAAGTCACACTGCCCACAGGGACGAGGTCCTGTAGTGTGACTTATTCCAACACTGGGAGTGCAGTGCCCCCTAGTAGTTCCCGTAAGAAACGTTGTCCTCAAAGTGCGTTAGATTTAGCAAATGAGGAGCTCCCACAACTGGTACTACTCTCAAGCTCAAGTGGGTAATTTGACAATTGCTTTTATCTTTTCTGAACCATTAGGAACCCACTGAAGTTTCACGTTGAATGTGCACTCATTTTTTCCAGTGCCAACAAAGGTTGGATTCTAACAATGCCCTAATGGGACCTTATCAATAACTCTTAAACATCTGATTCTCTGTGAATATCAAAATTTAACAGTCTCCTTTTGCTTTGCCTTCAAGCCTCTCCTGAGCTGACGGTTGAGAATTAGAATAAATATAGGGGACAGACACAGAAAGCATCACCCCACAAGCTTCAGGGCATCTCAGGGGTGAAAGATGGCCACAAAACAGCAGAGTGTTAAGAAATCCGTTGATGGGTCAAGTATTCAAAAACAGATGAAGGTCTGACAATTTTGCCTGTGAAAACACTGCAGCTTATAGTGGCAACTGATAGATTTGTAGAGTTAGATAAAACTAGAAGTAAATTTAAGCAAGTTGAACAGGCAAGGAGAACAGATATAAATTTATATTTCCTTTTTTGTTGTTGTTAGTGAAAGCCATTCAAAGGCAGTCTTATCTCTAGGATATCCAAAAGATAATAGGCACATACATAGTATAGCACAAATGCTTTTGAAAGTGGAATGTGCATTTTCTGCCTTCTGTGTGGCCGATATCATGCTATTTCAAAGCCCGTAAAAGCAATATATAGTTTTTTGACAAATACACCCATGTGTTGTGCATGGTTTGATTTATGTAAACTCATTTCAAATGCAGTTGCAGAATTCCTCCTGAACAGATGAAAAATGTCTGCCTAAAGTGATAAAAATATGTGTGTGTAGAAAGATATAGTTTTAAGAAGGAATTTTTGTATGTTAACAGATTTGTAACTCTATTTCACACAATATCCTTTAAAAAAAAAGCTTCTAGAGACTTGGTTTTTTTTTCTACATTACTGTGTCAGTTCAGGTGTTTCCATAAGATGGAAGTGAGTCTATTCTGCTATAAGAACCTTTGTGTGTTGAAAATTAGCATGTGTGGGAGTGGTGAATGGAGAAATGAGATCAATATAACAGATGCTTGCTTTGTCCATGCATTTCACTAGTTCCAGCAACCAAGAACAAAGCTCACTAACTCAGGTCAAGGCAGATAAGATAGTGACTGTGTCTCATTTAGCCCATATTCTTCCTCTTGACTCAGTTTTGGCCATGTTTCAACATGACTGTGTTTAAGAGTGTAGCTCTCCTGAGCCTTTCTGCACTTTGTACTTGTTTTATAGATTACCATTCTCAGCTCTTCTCTTTCCCGGCTTCCTTGTTTCACCAAACTGTCTTCATATACACACACAACTGAAGTCCTGTTTTGTTTTGTTTTGTTTTTGTAGTGTTTATCTATTAGGAATTTAAGCTATCTTTTTAATCATGCTGATATATTTACTAGAATGATTATTGTTTTTGTTAGTATTCATGTTACATAAATATCGAGTAGATGTGTCCTGACCTTATATTTCTCAGAACCCTATAATTTTCATTATGTAATTTTGAAGATCATACAGGGAATGCATTTATCTCATTATAAGCACAAGCATTTGTACTTGCAGTCTCTTTATTAATTGCATTTATCATTATGGAATTACTCTTTGAATTATAGACTTCCCTCATGAATCCAAGGCATACCGACTGAGGTAGCAGTTGCCTACTAGATTCATTTATTTAGTTTAACCTTCACTGAGTAAAGCCAACCCCGTGTGTACATTACAACACCCCATTAAAAAGTAACCTTCTCATCTTTCTTTCTTTCTATACACTGAAAATATTTTCATAACAGAAGCACTTAATGAAGGTTTAACTTGCTTCTGCTGAAAACTTTTATTTTTTAAATCACTAACATATGGTTTGTGTACATTTAAAAAAGGATCCCCATCCTCCCCACCCACATACATACATACTCATTTCCTGTACTCTTCTAAGTAATTTGTGGCTAGTATTTGTGTTTAAATTTCATATTCAACATAGTATGAAATTCTAAATTCCATCAGGTCAAGCTGCAGTGAGTCAGGGATTTTTAATATGATAACAGCTTACAACAGACCCTAAAACATTAGTGTAATTAATGCAGAAGGAAATGGAAAATTTTCAGAAAGGCTTCTTTCATATTTCTTTAAGGATACAGAGGAATATCTTTTGTTTTAAGAAAGAAATTATTTAATGTTATTTCCATGTAACTACGTATTTGGTGTCAACTTGAATGATTTTCTTAGAATATTGGTAGCAAGCATGGAATAGAGTTTTCTAAGAGCAAGTCACAATTTATCCTGCAAGAACCATGCATTGCATTAGGCAGTGATAGTGGAAAGCTGATCTAACTCATTATTTTTAAGGAGGCGCTCACAGAGGGTGATGCTGTAGACATTTCAGCACATCCTCTTAGGGAGACCCGCTCAGAGTGCTGTGAGAGAGAACAAAGGCAGTAACTGTCAAGGAAGGGGTGCTTTCACCTACGCAATCGGAAAAGTGCCTTATGGGCTTTTTTTCGTCTTTCCCTTTTGCTTCTGTAAAACTTAAAAAATTTTCTTCATCTGAACATAGAGTAGTTTTCATAAAGAATCCCTCACTATGTATAGTGTTGGAATAGCGTATATTTTGATCTTCCTGTTGGAGTTTTCCAAATTCATCAAGCTGAACACTTTCAATGGGTGCATTTTACTGTATACAAACTATAGCTCAACTTTTCATAAATCCATCAAAACTTCCAGTGTTACTCCTGTACTTCAGAGGAAAAAAATGCAACTTCTTCCCTTTGATATAATAAGTGCATTGCAGAAAGAAAAACTATAATGAATGATCCAGTGGATTTTTTCTCCCATAATAATTATTTCATTTCTGTATTCTCTTCCAGCTGTAGGTCCAGATTTTTCAAGAACCCTCTTAAAAAGGGTAACTCTTGTCAAAGTGGGAGGTGAAGTTGTCATCGAGTGTAAGCCAAAGGCTTCTCCGAAACCAACCTACACCTGGAAGAAAGGAAGGGACGTATTAAAAGAAAATGAAAGGTATTATCTTGAAATATTTTAAGTATGTGGTTAACCCATAATAATTTATAGGTCTGTTGTTAATAGTCCTAGAGGGAAGAATTTATGATCAGCTCTTCATGAACTAAATGCTAATCAAAGATCTGAAGCTTTGGAAAAGAGTGGTAAATGAGCAGGTCTTCATAATCCTTCTTGATATTAAGATTCTAGAAAGCCTTTCTTGCACAGGTAGATCACATGATCCCTGTTGAAGGGTGTTGGAGCTGCCCAAAGATGTGCAACTGGAAATATCTTTTTTAATTTTAGCTTAAAATTTATTTGTAGGCTTGACCATCTTTCTCCATTCTATTAATACCTCCTTTTTTTCCCCATAAACAAGTAATTCCAGTTCTTTTTTGCTATGGCAACCCGTCAAATATTTGGCAGTGTCTAGTATGTCTCTTGTTAATCTCTCCCTTTTTTTCAAACTGTCTGTAATTCCAGAACTCATTTTCAAATAACATGGCTTTTATTATTTTAATCATGTCTTTTAAGAACTCTATTTCAAACTTATTTTTGAAAAATTTTTTTTTCTTTCTGATATCTAAACTCTTCAAATGTATGTTTCTTATTATACATGAATTATGTTTATAACGCATGTTCTTTTATGCAGTGTAATTATATGGGTTGTTTGGGGGTTTAGGTCATATTGTGACAAATGGCAGGTATCTCTTAAGACCTTTTCTTGGCTGTCACCACTATAAAATATCTCCCACCCCTTTCTGTAATCTACTTATATGTGTTGGAAATGGTGATTGTGCATGAATCCATCATGCATAAGATAACATTTACCAGCTGTATACATAATGATTTTAATTGATGCTAAAGGTCAAGTACTCCACGATGTCATGGGGAAGCCTATAAAAATGTGTGCATATCGCCTTTAACACCTGTACACCTTTGGATTTACATATGCAAAGTAGATCATCACACTGATGATGTTGTCCTTATTAATGATTTTTGCAAACAAACCCAATATGGTTTATAGAGGGTGTATTCATACATAGTAAATGCATAATATACGTCTCTTTCTGATTTCTGTTATATCAAGAAAGTGGTATAGTTTACTGATTACTGGCCTGACATTCAAATCTGGAGCCAAAGTTGGAACTTGAGAGCACAGTTTCTTATTTTGTATACCACATACATTATTAGATTAAGGCTACATTTTAAAAGTTTTAATACAACATTGCTATGAAGAAAAATATTTTTAAATAATATGAAAAATAGATATATGAATGAGTGAGGTTTGAGTAACATGGAAGATCAATCCAGGAGAGGCTAATAAAATTTGCTGCTGTCACAAACAACCTACAGTGTCCTAAAACAAAAGGACATTTCTCATCCACACTGCATGCCCACCAGAGGTCTGCTGGGGGCTTTGCTGCGCTCTAAAGCCTAGGCTGGTAGAATAGCACTCTCTGGAACATTTAAATTGCAGAAGGAGAAGAGGGTGCTAAACTTATGAAGTGAAGCACTTCTTTTTTGCTCATGTTTTGATGGCCAAAAGAAGTCACATGGCTCTTCCCAAATTCAGCCCAACAGGGAAATTCAGTCTTTCTGTGTGCCTAGAAGAAAAAGGACAGCCTAACTTTTTGAACAGTATTAATGACCACTCAACATGACTATAATTTAATCATTGCTATAGGTTGTTTAAATTAACTTTGGGAAAATGATATACCAAGAATTACTTTTACTAAGTAAATTTGACTTCTTCTACCATTGACTTACCACAAAGCTTATCTCTCCCCAATTTTTAAATTTTTTTCTTCTGACTTGATTGATAGGGTTCAGATATAGCCTCAACATTTCTATGGCACTAAGGGTATCTTTAAAGCAAGGAAACTCCCCGTCATTACTCAGGTCCTGGTCGTTATCACCTCCACCTCCACCATCACCAGGCATGACCCAAACTGTCAGTGTTAGCACTTTTTATCCCCGTAGGTGCTGTGTCCTCACTGTTCTCTTTCTAGGTTCTACCTCACTCACAGTGTGTTAAACAGATAGATTGATTTTCATCATGAAAATGAATTTAAAAGCTGATCAGGTATAATATATATATATATATTTTTTTAACAAAGCATGTATTTGTTTTTTACTTAACTAATTTATTTGGCTGCGCCCAGTCTTAGTTGGAGCACACGGGATCTTCAGTCTTTGTTGCCTCAAGCGGGATCTTTCAGTTGAAGCATGCAAATTCTTAGTTGTGGCAAGTGAGATCTGTTTCCCTGACTAGGGATTGAACCCAGGCCCCCTGCATTGGGAGCCTGGAGTTTTAGCCACTGGACTACCAGGGAAGTCCCTGGCTAGGTATAATTTAAAGGTGAATGTAGGGACTTAAGTGTGTGTCCCATCCATGGGAGACACTTGCCACTCAATTCTAGCATATTATTGCCACCAAATGGAAATACAGGTCCAGTGCCTCCCCACCTTCTCATTTTTCAAGGGAAACTAGAAATATGGAATTTAAGTTGAGCTATCTTAAGTTTTAAATGTCAGTAACTTGTTTAAAAAGTTTTAATGTTAGAACAGTATGGGCCACACATCCAAGGACCAAGTTTACTCCATGGCCTGCTGGGGTATGAGAAAGATAAACTCAACTGGACTTCCTGTAATTTCTGAAAAGGGTAAAAAATAAGAAAGCTATTACTGACATTTCCTTGTTGACAGAGAAGAAATTCTGCCATTTTCCTCTATGTCTTTTTGATAAAAGAGAAACCTAAGTAAGTGAATAAATGAACAAAAGTGATCATATATAGGATTCATAAGTGAAAAGTTTAGAATTCCTATTTTAGAAAAGGATTGACATTACTAGAACAACACAAAAGGAAAAATTTTTGTTGAGTATGTACAGTGTTGAGTAATAGTTTCCAATATACGGATTTGTAATTCCCTTTTGAGATGTGGAATCATAAGAATCAAAAGGCAAGCTGTTAACATTTGAATGATTTTTTAAAACATTTTATTGAAGTATTGGTGGTTTACAATATAATGTAACATGCTTAGTCACTCAGTCATACCCAACTCTTTGTGACCCCATGGGCTGTAGCCCGCCAGTCTCCTCTGCCTATGGGATTATCCAGGCAAGAATGTTGAACTGAGTAGCCTTTCCCGTGTCTTACAATGTTGCATTTATTTCTTCTCTATAGCAAAGTGATTTAGTTATACATACTCTTTTTCATATTCTTTTCCATTACGGCTTATCACAGGATATTATGGTTTATCAAAGAATATAATTCCCTGTGCTATGCAGTAGGACCTTGTGTTTTATCTATCCTATATATAATAGTTTATCTCTGCTAACCCCAAACCCCCATTCCTTGCGTTGGCTGCCCACTCTCCCCCTTAGCAACTAAAAGTGTATTCTCTGTGAGTTTGTTTTTATTTCACAAATATGTTGAGGTGTCAGATTTTAGATTCTACATATAAGTGATACCATGTTGTACCTGTCTTTCTCTTTCTGACTTACTTCACTTAGTATGATCGTCTCTAGGTTCATCCATGTTGCTGCAAATGGCATTGTTTCATTCTTTTTGATGGTTGAGTAATATTCCTGTGTGTGTGTGTGTGTGTGTGTGTGTACCACATCTTTTTTTTTTTTAAATATTTTATTTATTTATTTGGCCGAGCTGGATCTTAGTTGTGACATGTGAGATCTTCGATCTTCTTGTGGTGGTGTGCACATTTTTTTTTAGTTGCAGCATGCCAACTCTTAGTTGCAGCATATGTGATCTAGTTAGCTGGCCAGGGATTGAATCCAGGCTCCCTGCATTGGGAATGTAAAGACTTAGCCACCAGACCACCAGGGAAGTTCCCATATCATGTCTTCTTTTTCCATTCTTCTGTCAATGAACACAGGTTGTTTCCATTTCCTGGTTGTTGTAAGTAGTGCTACTAGTGAACATAGGGGTGCATGTATCTTTCTGAACTACAGCTTTGTCTGGGTATATGCCCAAGGGTTGAATTGCTGGAACATACCAAAGTCTACTTTTAGTTTTTTTTGAAGAACCCCCCATACCGTTTTCTGTACTGGCTGCCCCAATTTATACTCTCACCAACAGTGTAGGAGGGCTGCCTTTTCTCCACACCCTCTCCAACATTTGTTATCTGTAGACTTTTGAATGATGGCCTTTGACATTTGAATAAAAGATGATTAATCTCAATTACAGAATATTGCTATAAACCAAGTTTCAGTGGAACAAAATTTATGATCAAGCACCACTTGTTATTAATGTTCTCCCTAGAGCTTATGGTTTGACTTAGCCAAACACTGCTTAAGTGATTTTTTATTTCAAATTTAGCTAATCAGCTGCCTGCAAAGGAGATTACATTAAAAGTATAAGAAGCAACATTTTTGAATGTTTACATTTTTATCTTATTCACATTGTGGTGTTATAGTTACCTCAAATGGGTATGGATTCAGAAATACTAGTTTAATGTTAACATGTGAACAATTTTTAAAATACGTTTGTATGTGCTTATTTTGGTTTTTAAAGGCTTTAGGAATTTAAATCATATTTACACTGACCTTATATATATATATATATATGTATATTAAACCAATCATCTAAATGAAAGATTTAATCTTCAATTTTTATAACTTCACTCTTGTGTAGGCAGCATATCCATAAGCATAAATATTTTTTTTTTGTTTTCTTGTATATTTATCCAGCTATCACAGTACAGGCAATATCAGGCCTTTAAAACAGAGATGGTTTGTCACAGAGACCCAAGTACTTCAGTCCTCAGGAGAGGCCTCTACTCATCACCAAAGCAGTGAAATTATTTGGATTCATTGAGCAATTAAGCCATGTAACTGAAAAAGGTTGATAATTTTGTTTACTGTTAGTTTCTGGACAGAAGGCATTTGAGGCAGATGAGATTGATCTATTACAAACAAAAACATCAGAATTTAGAATGAGAGAATCATTAATAAAAACCTAGGCACCTAGAATCATAAGAAGACATGAAACCAACTCACA